TCCTTTGGCCCCCCCCCCCCCCCCCCTTACGGAACAACCTGCCCATGGAGATCCGCCTGGCACCCTCGCTGGATGGGTTTAAACGAACATTGAAGATTTGGCTCTTCCATCAGGCTTTCGTGGAGCGTTAAGATCTCGGCCTCCCTTTTACCATCCTTTTTCTCATCCTCTCCATCACCCTTTCTACCACCTTTATTGCCGCCTGTTTTAATTTACCCTATTTGGATTGTATTGATTTATTTATTTTTATCGTGTTTTAATATTGATGTTTATACCGTTGTTAGCCGCCCAGAGTGGCCTGGTTGCCAGACGGTGCAGGGTACAAATTCAATAAATAAATAATATACAAGGAGAAATCCACTTTCCATTGGATTTCCAGGGCCAAGAGTCCTGGTCAAACGCTCTATCCATTATACGACACTGGCGCTCACTTTTTGCAGGCTTGCGTTCAGTCAAGCAGCCACACCAAAAAGACGAGTGACTCATATGGACCAGAGTGTAGAGCACAGACTAGCCCTCCTACAGGTCTTCAAAAAACCAGGAAGTCCAGCCTAACGTAAATGGCAGCAAGTGTGGGAAATCATCTCCCAGGCCTTTGGCGTTCCTTGTCACGGGAACAACTCCAGACTTATGTGGGTTTTCTGACTTGTAACCTTTATTGCACTCTTTATTTCTATGGTTCGCAAAAGAATTCCTTAAGCTCATTTGGAACCTGCGGACAAAGAGAGGGAATATTAGGATCTCTCCCCCTCCATCATAGGCGACATTTTCCATCTCCCAGATCCCTGGGGGGGGCTGCCCCTCCCTCTTTCATCAACCCTGGACCTGACCAGAAGCTCACTTTTGATCAGCATCTGGGATTAGCTCTTTATAAGCAACACAGAAACATAGTTAACTGGAAGGAGTTGCTTTGGGGCAATGAGTAATGTAAATACTGTAGTAGTTATAAAGTAAGTCCTAGTGACCAAGTTAATGCTGAGCCTTGGATTGCTTTAAACGAGAGCTTAAGAGAATTGCCCTTTTTGATGACAACGCTCAGAAGCCCTGAACAGTTGCAGCCCGCCCCCCCCACCGCAAAATAAAATTTCCACGTTTGGATGTGACCTGGGGCTGTAGAATAACTTTCTCTTCAAGAGTCTCCAAATTGTCACAAAGATCTACTACTGCTGCTACTATCACTACCACCTCGACTACTGCTACTACTACTAGTAGTAATTTGCTAAGTCAATTCTGACTTATGCCAACCCTTTTCAAGGCTTTCTAGGTAAACAACGTTCAGAAGTAATTTACCATTCCCTTCTTCTTGGGAGTGTCAGGGGACTGTACAGCTGGCCCAAGGCTACACAGGCTGGTTCTACTTGTAGGAGGCACATTGGGGGAATTGAACTCCGAATCTCTGGCTTTACAACCAGATATGTAATAAATGATGGAATATCGGGAAGCAGGCATGGTGACATAGCCCAAGTGGAATGTTCTGGGCCTGGGAGATGGTTCTCCCCTTTGTTAAGAAAACTCTTTGGCCAACTTGTGCCATACCCGTTCCCTGAAGGAGAGAGTCATCCATCTTTGCTTTTCAACAATGGCCCTGGAAAGGATGCTAAGTCATGCTGGATAGCTCAGTCATTTAGACACCTGGCTGTGGACCCAGAAATGGGGAATTGGATTCCCTCCCTGTGCCTCCTTAATAAAAGCTGGGCTTGATGATCTATAGGGCCCCTTCCAGCTCTGAAGTTCTAAAATGGTGATGTTACAGCATTGTTTCCATTGCTCTTACTCTCCTTAAATTTGCAGAATCTTTCTCACACCCTGCTGAGAGCAGAGGCCCTGTGAAAGCAGAGGGGGAGAGTCATTTCTGTTTTCATTTACTATCATGAAAGCCTTTTTTGTGAGTTTAGTGATAAGCAGGCATTGCCTCCTGATGCAAAACAGTTCTAGTGGAACTGCACCGAGTGCTCACCTTTTCCTTATGTCTGATGAACAGTTCATAGGTAATGCAGGCTTTGGAGATCAACTCATTAGCATCCAGATCTATGATGTTATTGCACAGCTGTAGGAAAAAGAAAAAAATAACTCTATGGGGGTCCCCAGCTTGATGCTCCCCATGGGAACAATAATAAGATAATAGTGGTCTGTCACATCAGTTCCTGCTTATGGCCAACCTTGTCAGGGTTTCCTACGTGTAAAGCACTCAGAAGTAGTTTACCAGTCCCTTCAAAAAACAGACTGCACACATTGTTTCTCATGATAAATTCAATAGACAGTGGTCCCTCGCTTAACGAGGATAATCCATTCCAGCGAAATTGCTGTAGAACAAAATCCTCGTTAAGCGAAATAAAAAAGCCCATTGAAACGCATTGAAAACCCTTCAATGCGTTCCAATGGGCTGAACACTCACTGTGCAACGAAGATCCTCCATAGGGGCGACCATTTTCGCTGCCTGTAAAGCAAGGAATCCGTCCTAGAAAACAGCGGGGGGCCATTTTATACACCCTGCGGCCATTTTGAAACCCGATGATCAGCTGTTTTTAAATCATCGTAATGAAAAAATCAGTTCCCGAGGCAGGGAACCGATCATCGTGAAGCGGATTTTTCCCATTTAAACCACATTTTCCTCGTTAAGTGAGGCAATCATTAAGTGAGGCACCACTGTATTGTTTCTCTTTTGTCTTTTGCCTCCAAAACGTCACAGAGACTCTTGGGAATACATAAAAACATCTTTCCTTACTACAATGCCGTCTGGATATTTCCGTATGTAACGCCTCTCAGGCCGTCTGAGCACACATTATTCCTCAGTTCAAAACTCGTGGAGACCCTCAAAGTGGGAAATGATGTTTAAGAACATAACAAATGCCCCAGGTGGGTCAGACCAAATGCTCATCTCGTGCCATGTCCTGTTCCTCGCAATGACTAATCAATGGTGAATTTTTCCCATTATGTTCATTTAGGGCATGAAAAGTTTATATTCCTTGCTTCAGAGGTTAGTACTGACTGTGAGCTAGTGATGCTTTGGCTTCGCCTCTGGGACCCGGTGCCCTCCCTTCAAAGTTATTCTGATAAGTATGCCCACTGTCTATGAGAGCGGTCTTTCCCCCCTTCATAGGAGGGCAACCGGATCCTGTGCTCTGGCCCATCCTTCACCCAGCTTTCTAGGATGGAGAAAGACCTGGAGTATACCAGCCAGTGGTAGCCTGTTTGGCTGCAGTCTTTTACTCAAGGGAAGGAGCTGGATCAGGTTCAGGCAACTGTGAAATCCCAGGGAATCACATCTACAGGACTACAGGAACCCAACCAGCTTAATAAGATGCTTTCTCTGGAACAATCACTTGCTACAGTGGTTCCCAACCTTGGGTCTCCAGATGTTCTTGGACTCCAACTCCAAGAAATCCTGGCCAACACAGCTAGTTGTGAAAGCTTCTGGGAGTTTTAGTCCAAGAACATCTGGGGATCCAAGATTGGGAACCATTGATCTGCTACAGCTCTTTACCATCACTGTGTGCAACAAATTTTATATCATAGCACTGGCTGCGTTCCCCCTGAGATATTTCTGAATCTGTTTATATTCATTGAGCCTCTAGCACCCCAACTGAAACAGATGACACCCCAGTTCCCAAAAGCTCAACTCCTTCTCTTTTAGGCTGATATGTGATGCTCTCCAAAAAGCAGCCATTTTGTTCTGATTTCTAATTGTCCATTTGACGACAAAAAGTTTTGGCCAGTGTTCTGTGCTCACAACATCTGTCTCCATGCCTCTTGAAAAAGCCAGACTAAGCCAGAAAGGTAAGAGGGTAGCTGCTGAATATGGGAAAGCTACAGGCTAGGTCTGGAAAAGTTCCTTTTTTTGTAAGGGAAAGGTTGCCCTTGACATTTAGTTCAGTCGTGTCCGACTCTAGGGTGCGGTGCTCATCCCTGTCTCCAAGCCATAGAGCGAGCATTTTGTCCGAAGACATTTTCCGTGGTCACGTGGCCAGCGCAACTAGACACGGAATGCTGTTTACCTTCCCACTGAGGTGGTACCTATTTATCTACCTGCATTTTTACATGCTTTCGAACTGCTAGGTTGGCAAGGAGCTGGGACAAGCGTCAGGAGCTCACTCCATTGCGTGGATTCAATCTTACGACTGCTGGTCTTCTGACCCTGCAGCACAGAAAGGCTTCTGCGGTTTAACCCGCAGCACCACCTTTTTTGTACTGTACAGTAATTCCCACACACTGAGGTATTTTCGAAGGGGCCATCTGAAAAAGGAACAATTCCAAGCTCTTGTGGGTAACCGTGCTTGGTGAAGAGCAAACTAAGAGTTGAGGAGAATTTCACTTCAATTTGTTTTTATCTGATTTAGTACATTTCTTTATATTTGGAGTAGCTTCCCTTCCAGAGGCCAGGCCTGCTGTCTCTGTGCCTCTCCCCATCTATCAGACAATCAGCTCCGGCCTGCAGGCTGAGCTCTCGGAAGGGAAGCCACGCTTGGTGAGTCTCAAGATGGCGGCAGAGGCGAAGGAAAAAGAGGAGGCAACAAGACCTGGTAGGAAAGTGATGGGGGGCAGCAGGGGACAGGGGAAAGAAAGTTCATCAAATCATTTTTAAAAAGTTCGTGGTTCAGGTTCGTCAGTCTGACGAATCCGAACCAACGAATGAGAAATTATTTATGAACTTCCTGGATCGTTTTTTAGTTTGTGCCCATCTCTAGTTCCAATGGCTAAAGCTACAGTGGGGTCTTGAAAGGCAGAATAGCAGCTTCCCATTAGTTTCTATGGACGGAAAAGAGCAGATACGGATCAAATGGTTTTCAATGCATTCCTATGGGAAATGCAGATTTGACCTGAGAACTTGTTGACTTGAGAACCGCCTTCCAATATGGATTAAGTTCTTAAGTCAAGACCCCACTGTATGTCTTCACAACCTGCAATTGGACTAATCCTTAGGTCCTCTATTATAGATCAGAGCATGAGCCCAGACATTTATTTTGCTTCCAGTTTTATCTCATTACAAGAACATGATCTATCTGCGGCTAGGCTTTGCTTACCATTAAAATGTCCTCTCCACTCAGGTCTGCGGTGATGATCTGATTTCTCACTATTTGCAGTATTGTGTAGGCTACGATGACCTGGAAGTTCTTGCAGGGCAGGCCGGTCAGAAACGCCTTGGAGTACATTGAGAAAAGGCTCAGCGGATTTCTACTCAAGCTTTCTTCCGCTGCAAGTTTTGCTTAAGGTTTTTCTAGACATTATCATCATCACCAAGTTTTGTTTTGTTGCTCCTTATCCATGGGGGAAATCATGCTCAAATCAGCTAATTGTACCATCACATATGCTGCACAATAGAAAACAACTAGCTTTCCAGGTAATTAAAAAATGATTAAATCTCTAGATCTAAATAACTATAGAATGGGCTAAACATCTCACAGTAATAAATGCACATTAAGATAAAATAATCCACTGTTAATTCACAGCAAACAGCTGATATTTGGCCCTTTGGGTCCTGCATGCAGCTACATGTTGTCCACCTCTGTTAGGCTATCAGCGTCATAGGTGGGTCAAGGCTGACACCCTGGGGAAAGGTGATTCCCCGACTTCAGCCAGATGTATAATCAAGATTCTCTTTCATTAGCCCAGTGGGTCCCAACCTTGGGTAATCCAGATGTTCTTAAACTGCAATACACAGAAACCCCAGCCAGCAGAGCTGGTATTGAAGGAGATGTTCTTAAACTGCAATACACAGAAACAGTCTCCTGGGAATTGCAATTGAAGAATACTTGGGTTCCCTAAGGTTGGGGACCACTGTATTAGACCGTTGGTGAGAGAATTAAATGAGGTGGTTTGGGCAGTGTTCTGATATTCAATCACTCAGAAGAGCAGATCCATTGAAGCAACTGCTAAATGGCAAGTCAACATTAAGTTCCCTTGAGTCAAGTGCCCCCTTCTAGTTAAGAGAAACAATTGGATTTAGGCCATGCCTTGCCACACACATGGGTCAAATTGCGGAGCCCTCAATCAAATTGTTTATTATTGTTATTTTCTCTCAATCAAATGCAGGAGTAAAATTGCAGATGTTCAGAGAAAGGCAATGAAATTCATCAAGGCTGAAAGCTTTCCAAGTTTGCAAAAGCAGAATCGGTTTTCAGAGATAAGGTAGTTTCTTGCATTGAGTTGAGGGACATACTAGATGACCTTCAAACCCCCTTCCAAAATATTCTTTGCATAGAGTTAACTATCCAGCACAGTACAGCTGGAAGCGTCTAGTTTGGTGGCTCTGTGCAGCCCTTAGGCTTGAATGTGGGGATATGCATTTTTTAATTTAAAAATCACAAAATTCTCCTTTCTAGGACTCTCACCTGTTAGGACCCGGACTTTACAGACTCATACATTGTGCTCACCTGGAGAGAAGGCCCGGCTGGCCGACTTCATGCCTTAAATGAGGTTAACTTCCTGCTTGAAAAGTGTACCTTCCTTACAAATGCTTTCAAAACACCTGAGTGTCGCTCACCTGGGAGAAAGGCCTAAATCAGAAGGCTTTGTGGCTTAGCCAGGCCAAGCTCTACCCGAACTTCCTGTTCCTGCCCCAGAGATAGGTGGGAACTTTCTTTCTGAACAGGTGGCTAGGACAGAGCTTGGCCGAGCTAAACCCCAAAGCCTTCATGTTTAGACCTTGATGCCTGTCAAGTTGGTAGAACTCCCAGAATGGAGAATTATAATATTTGTAGTCCAGGAAATCTGAAAATCCCCTTCAACAGGAGTGTCCAACGACTGGAACTGCGATCAAGAGCCTGCCTGTCTCTCCCCCCACACACACTATCACTATACCACTGTAATAGCCCTAGGTATGAGAAAACAACAATTCAGTATTTGGATAGAGTTCCTTATGTCCTGAAATCTGGTTAGAAGGTTGCTTTAAACATGAAAAAAACAGAAACATCCTTATGGCCTTGATTTAAACAGTTCTTTTTCAGAGACGTCCAGGATGGAGACGGCTGGTGTTGGAGTCTCTACTCAGCGGGAAGAACAAGTCCAACGATGCTCGGTCTCAGCAGATATTCAATTAAACATTTTGAAAGCGACGGTGGGTATGCGGGTGGAGACTGAGATGGCTGAACAAACGGCTACCATTTGGTGGGACAGAAGCCTCATTGCTACAGCACTCCTGGCCTCTTCTGGATCCAGCTTGAAAGCCAAGAGGCTGGAGAGGGGAAGCAGAAGAACTGCTAATTTGGAGCAGCTGTAGAGCTGGCACCCATTATCAGTGCCCTGGTAGCGCCAGGGAGGCAGACTGGCACGGCAAATATGCAGAGGCTGCCTTTCCTCGGCGAAGTCTGCCAGGACCCCTAATTCTTGCCCAGAGAGACAGCAAAACTGCCAGCACAATTACAACAGATTCTGTTGTTCAAAGTCCATCTCCGAATTTGCTGCATGAAGGGGTATAAACTCCAAACATGGATTGCAAAAGTGATGC